AGAATGGCGGAGAAGGGATTGTGGCATGGCCATCCCCCCGGGGGGTGATTTCTCGCTTTCTGTCTCTCTGTCTCTCTCTGTCTTTTTGGCGAGCCCACGTGCCCTATAGCAAAAAACCTCTCCAAAAAAAGAAAAAAAAAGAAATACCTTTTTCCAGCCCTTCACTTTTAGTCCATATATGTCTTTATCCATGAGATGCATTTCTTGTAGGCAACAGATAGAGGGTTTCTGTGTTTCTTTCTTTTTTTTTTTTTTTATCCATTCAATCAACCTACGTCTCTTGATTGGAGAATTTAATCCTCCATTGATATTATTGATATTTATTATTGATATTTTTGGACTCGTTCCTATCATTAAGTTGGCCATTTTCTTGGCTGTTTTTGTTGTCTCATTTCTGTCTGTCTGACTTTAGTTTTCCTGGTATAGCATTCCCGTCAGAACTTCTTAAAGAGCTGGTCTGACAGTACAAATGTTCTAAATACAACTTTGATCAAATCTCATCATTTTCGATGAGTAATGGTATCATTTTTGTAATTTCTAAGCATATATTTTTTCAAACTTGATTCCCTCTATAATCTAAAAATTATTTGGGAAAATTGTTAATTCCTTCATGGTCAGAATTTTTTGTACTATTCTTTGCATTAATTAATTTTATGTCACATATCTGGTAATATGTATGTTACCACTTTTTAAAAAGAAACACTCTTTGTGTTCTGTCTTTCTGAATACAGTGATATATATACTCATAAATACAATAGTCTGGTTTTCACTCCTGTATATCTTTAATTATTTTGTATAACTAATTTGTGACATGATATTAAGTATATTAGAGGTTCTCACTATGAATGTAAAGTAGTTTTCTCATATTTGGCTTAAGTTTTCCCAAACATTTTTTTCCCTTGGTTTTGCCATAGAGTGTGTGTGCTTGCTGGAAAGAAATGGGGAATAGGAGTGAGAAATCACCACCTAATGGGGATGGCCATGCCACAATCCCTTCTCCTCCATTCTCTTGGGATTTTGGGCATGTACACATGTGCCTGGTGCTGTTTTCAAGCCCTTGGGTCTGGGACTTGAACCTTGCTGTCCGTCATGTGAGATCCAGCCACCTTCACCATACCAACTGTTGGCCCCCTAAATATTTGTTTGATACATTTTAATGATACTTTTGAGTACATAATAGTTTGTGTTTTATTATGGTGGTGTACTATAATTTGTATCAATATAAAATATTTTTCTTGTCCCAATTACTGATTTCTGTAAAGATATATGTGATTAAATATAAATTAAACAAGAAAATTTTAAAAATTACTAATTTTGATATTATATTGTCACCACCGCTTTCTTTCTGTTGGCATTTACATGACTTATGTTTCATATTCCTTTGTTTTCCATCCTTCCATATGTTTCTGTTCTAGGGATACCTTGTGTAAATAACATAAACCTGGACTTTAGTTTTTCAGTTTTTTCTTTTGTTTGTTTTTGTTAGCATATGCTTGCTGGAGAGAGACAAAGAGAGAGGAAACTGAGAAATCACTCCTCTCAGGGGGCTTGGGGGTTACACTGCAGTTCCTTCTGCTCCATTCTCTTGGGACTTTTGGCACACACATGCACATACCTAATGTAATTTTCATGCTGCTAGGTCCAGGACTTGAATGACACAGTTGGTCATATAGCATCCAGCCTCCTTAACTTCCGCACCACCTGCTGACCTCAGATTTTTACTCTTTTTTGTACTCTGAAAATCTTTGTCTTTAATATGAGAATTTAAGTAACTGGCATTTTAATATGATCATTAATATGTTTGTTCTCATTTCATCAGCACAAAATTTTCACTGGCAAAACACACTGCTGCTGGTAAATTGGGCTTCAAAGATTGAAGAGACCTGGTTTGAGACCTGGCTCTACTGCTGACTAGCTTTGTGACTTTGGACAGTGAGTCACCTTCCTCATGTATAAAATGTAGCTGTTAATAGTAACTTTCTGAAGAGTATTGTTGCAGAAATCTCCAAATAATTGACTGAGAGCCCCGTAACTTAGTGCCTGGCACAGACAAAGTATTCAATAAATATTGTAGTTACTATTGCTATTGTTACTACTGTTTCTGTTGTATGACCACATAGAAAGTATCAAAGTTGTTTAATTTAAATATTCATCTTTTATAATTCATTTTATTAACACATAATAGTTGTACATATTTGTTCTTAGCAGTTTAATTCTACATTTTTAGCTTGATTCTACTTTCCATACTGTGGTTGTGTATCTCATCCCCAAGTATTAGGCATTTCAATTTTAAAATCTCTTTGTCACCACAAACTCAACATATCTCTTTACAATTGACATCTTCCTATAGAATACCTCTGCTTATATCAATGGCAGCATTATTTACCTAGAGCTATGGTCTGCATGCCCTTCAAAATTCATATATTGAAAATCACCAGTGTGATAGTATTAAGATATGGGGCCTTTAGTAAGCGTTTAAATTACCAGAGCAGAACCCTCATAGATGGGAAAAGAGCCCTTATAGAAGCACTTGATGGAGTGGGTTTATCCCTTTTCCATCCTTGTGAGGCCATATTTATTTTCTCTGGAGGATGCAGCAACAAGGGGACAATCTAGGAAGCAGAGAGGCCAGGCCCTTCAGCACCTTCATCTTGGACTTCACAGTCTCCAGAACTGAGAAATAAATTTCTGTTGTTTACAAATTATCCAGTGTGTGTTTATTTTTTTGTTATACCTCCAATTCAGTGTATCTTCTTTTCTTCTCGTATTTGAATTAGCTTCCTTGACATCAGTCTTTCCTCACTACAGTGTGTATTATCACCAATACTCCCTAAGCATCACTTTAGTCATGTCACTCTCTGCTCAAAAACTTTTAATCACTTCAAACTTCTGAAAAAAAATGTTTTAAATTTCCTTGCTTATTTTAAGGTATTCATAATCTGACCCTACCTTACTTATCCAATTTTGTTTATAATTATACTTCAACATACAAAACTCATGTAAATTTATCTCTTCACTTTTCTCTCACAAGTCAAGCTCATTCTTGCCTCAAGGGCACACTTTTATGGTATCTTCCCCTCTCACTAAAGTATACCTTCCCTTAGCCCCTTCTTCCATCTGAATACTACCCATTCCAAAAAGTATGAATAAGTCCCATCTCAGCTGAGAAATTTTCTGTGGCAACTTGATCTCCTTTACTGTGAAACACACATCTAATGCTTTAGTACTTCTTCATACAGTGTCTAAGTTGTTTTCTATTATTCTTGTGTATAAGCTTTGCTTCTCCAATTAGATTTTATTTCTTTTGAAGACAATTCTGGGAACAGTAGTTATTAACTGAGTACTTGTTAATCATCTTAAGTGAAGAAGAGAGACAAAAAGAAGAAAGACTGTCCTACTTTCACAACTCCTGTGCTTTTGAAGCATGTTTGAGATGTAACCGAAACCCCTAACATTTTGTATGGATTTTGAATGATTTATGATAAGGGATTCTTCTTTAATAAAAAGGAATTCTATGTATTTTGGCAGTATAAACAGGCCTTTGGAAGCAAGAACAGAGACAGAGAAAGGAAGCAGTTGCTTCAGTATTGGCTCTAATATTTCAGGAATGGAGAGAACAATAAAGCCTTTCACCCAGTTTCAAGTAAGCAATGTCAGGAAGCCAAACCATATATAAATACATACATACATACATACATACAAGCAAGCTAAAAGTCTTTTTTTTTTTCTCCCAGCTACATTTTTTGCTTTGGTTAGACAAACAGTAGAAGAAAATGCCTGGGCCTGATCTTTTGTATCTTAATGTTCCACTGGCTTAAGACAGATGCAGAAATAGTATTATTGTGTGTTTTATTTTAATAAAAGAATTGTATATTGTATATATAAAGTTTCTGCAAATTGACCTAGAAACCAATGATCTAAAGTAGCCACAAACCAACTTATTATCTGCTAAGATGACCTAAGAAACAAATGATATAATTTAGCCACAAACCAACTTATTATCTGCTAAATATTTTGAATTATAGCTCTCGAACATCTGGAATGTATTTGTGTATTGGTTAATTTGTTAACATCCTTACCAAGCATAGTGTGTGAGATAGGTAAGGTGATGGTGGGTTGGCCTGTCATCCTCCAGCGGCTACAGAGGTAAGCGAGGTCTGTCCTAAGCATTTCCACTATCATCTTGTTGTCCAGGGCCAAGTAGAACTGTTGCTGGTCTATAAACTGAAGAAAAGGAAAATAATAGCTCAGATTAATTTCTCTCACAACTATCAAAAATATTTTAAAATACTTACATAGGGTATACAAGATGTCACAGAGACAATAATATTCCAAATTTAATGCCTAATACTTCCCAAAGTACCTGGTAGTCAATTGGTACATATGGTAATAATTTTGGATATTTTTACAGTGAGCTATAGTACATAAAGTATATTTTCAAGTACATAATTTTATTTATTCCTATTACATCAATACCTCTTAACCACTCAGTGAGGACTTTTCTTCTTTTAGTAGATGAAAAATTAAGCTGAGAGATTATAAGTGTTTCTGCAAAGTCATATAGTTAGCAAATAGCAAAGTTAGAAATAGGATCAATAATACATTACTCTTTCATCTATACCTACACCTAGCTGCACTATTTCATATGTAAGATGGCAAATGGAAGTTTAAGTTTTCTCTCCATAAAATAGTTTTTCCTCTCTATACACACATGTAAGGGGACTTCAAAAAGTTTGTGGAAAGATGGAATTTGTTTTGCTACAAAACATTCTTTTGAAATTATTGCATAGTTTCTCCATAATATGTATTTACTAAGACCTCGCATATAATCAAGCTTACTATTGTAATGTTGCTAATAAACATCAGGCTAGCAATAAATATGATCACGGAAAAAAAAACACTGGTATTTTTGTTTAGAATAGGACATTAAACACTACCATGCACATAAAAGGGTCCCTTCTGCAAACAAACAAAACCCCATATAACTTAGTAGCTAAATGAAAAAGATTATATTTATTTATAAAGGCCAAATACTGTCTTATTTTAACTTTTAAAAGTAAGGAGTACGTTTTTAAGTATTCTAGCATTTGTAAAATTCCTAGTTATTGTTTCTGCAACATTCAAATCTAATAGTGGCAGTCACAAACACTTAGCATAACTCTGTACTGTATGTTCAATTCAGTTAAATGCAATACATATTTACTGAGCAACTTAATTATGTGCAAGGACCCAAAGAACTACTTACTCCTTATCCCAACTCTAATAAATGCTTTATTTCTACAATGTTCCTATCTTATTTCCGTTCATCTCAATGCACATTACAGTTTATTTCACCCACCTGTGGAGTGAAAGTAAAGATAGTTTTCCGAATGTCATAGAGTTTTGAAGTTCCAAGCACTCCCATGTGTCTATAGGGTCGTCCACTGAGTTTCATTCTACTGTTGCATCCTGACACAAAATTGAGAAATTATCAAGATAGTTTTAGTGCACAAATCAAATCAACAAACATTTTTTAAAGGTTTTTGTCATAGGGTGCACAAACTTGCTGGAGAGAGACAAAGAGAGATAGAGAGAAGGAAAGTGAGAAATCACCCCCTAGTGTGTACGGCCATGCTACTGTCCCTTCTCCATTCTCCTCTTAGGATTTTGGGCATGCACACACATATACCGGAGTAAGTTTCAAGCCACCAGATCTGGGACTCGAACCACAGTCAGCCATGTGGGAGTCTAGAGCCTTAATCACACCATCTGCTGACCCTCAACAAACATTTTTACATATGGATACACAAATGTATATATACATATAGACACACATATACATATCCACTTTATTTCCTTGTGTTTAAGATGTCTTCTTTTCATAGTTTAGCAGTCTGAAATTGAAATTCATCTTAAAATTAATACTTTGTTACATGTATTGGATTTCTTTTAGTCTTCCAGAAGGCAACTATTACATCAATACCTCTCACAATGAGGAAACTGTAAATATATTCACACATTTTTTTCTTTTATAACATAGCTAACACTATATATATATTGTTCTGAAACTTTTCCCCAAAAATACATATTGAATATTTCATGTAAGTACTGACAAAACTAATACTTTCTAAAAATTTTTCTATAGTGCATTTTTCTTGGAGATTTTTTTTTTCCCCTGCTTGATGCTACATGTTATATTTATCAAATATACCACATCTTTAGTGTTGCTTCACTTTTGTGGGCCAGAACCAGAGAACTGTCTATGCCTTGATCATATTCCAGGGTCCATTCAATAAAGCACACATTTTATCTGAGATTGACATGGCAACCAGGTTTACCCATTTAATTTTTTTCCATTACACTGAAATATAAAGAACATAAAATATGCCTTCTTAATTTTTAATTGTACAGCTCAATGGCACTAAGTACATTTATCTCATTGTGCAAATATCACCACCATCTTCAAATCTCTTTCATGGTCCTAAACTAAAACTCTGTAGGCACAATAGAGTAACTTCATATGTCCCCTTCCTCCCAGCCTCTAGCAACCACCATTCAACTCTGTGTCTCTGTGAAATTGACTACTGTAGCTATGTCATATAAATAGAATCATACAATATTTGACCTTTTGTTGCTGGCTTATTTCATTTAGCGTGAGGTCCTTAAGATTCATCTATGTCATAACATATGTCAGGATTTCCTTCCTTCTTAAGGCTGAATAATATTTCATCCCATGTATACACATTTTGCTTATCCATTCTCATCAACAGACATTTGGGTTGTCTCCATCTTTTGGCTATTGTGAACAATGCTGCACATTGGTGTAGAAAATATCTGTTTGAATTTCTCCTTTCACTTCTTTTGGGTATATACCCACAAGTGGAATTGCTGGATCACATAGTAAGTCTATGTTTAATTTTTTTGAGGAATGATCACATTTTCCCCCTTGGAGCTGCCTCATTTTACATTTCAACTAACAATGTAAAAAGCTCTTAATTTCTCTACATCCTCACAAACACTTGTTATTTTCTGTTTTTTAAATAACAGTCATCATAATAGGTATGAAGTGATATTTCATTGTGGTTTTGATTTGCATTTCCCTAATAATTAATGATATTTAGCATATTTTCATCTCCTTATTGGCTAGTTGCATATCTTCTTTAAGGAAATGTCTTTTCAAGTCATTTGTTCATTCTTGAATCTGTTTTGTTGTTGTTGTTGTTGTTATTGAGTTGTATTTATTCCTTATTTATTAATCCCTTATCAGATATATAATTTATATATATTTCCTCCTATTCTGTGGGTTGCCTTTTCACTCTGCTGATGTTCTTTGATGCATAAAAGTTTTATTTTGGTCAAGTTCAATTTCTCTAATTTTTGCTTGTCTTGTCTGTGCTTTTGTATCATATCCAAAAAATTATCACCAGTGCAATGTCTTTGAGCTTTTGTGTTCTAAGAATTTTATAATTTTAGGTTGCATTTTTGGAGAGATTTTTGCTATATAGGGCGCATGTGCTTGCCAGAGAGACAGAGAGACAGAAAGCAAGAAATCACCACCCAGGAGGGATGGCCCTGTTGCAATCCCTTCTTCTCCATGCTCCTCTTGGGATTTGGGGCATGTACACACATATGCCAGGCATGAGTTTTAAGCTACCGGGTCTGAGACTTGAACTGTGGTCAATTACGTGGGAGTTCAGCAACATAACCATTATGCCATCTGCTGGTCCTTTAGTTAGCATGTTTTAGTTTTTAATCCATTTAGAGTTAATTTTTGGGACACATTGTAAAGTAAGAGTCTAACTTCATTCTTTTCCATGTGGATATACACTTTTTCTTTCACCATTTGTTGAAAAGATTGTCCTTTCTTCATCTAACAGCGTAAGTACCTCTGTTGAAAATCATTTGACCATATATGTGAGGGTTCATTTCTGGGCTCTCCACTCTATTCCATTGTTCTATACTCTGTCTTTATTCTAGTTCCATACTGCTTTGATTATTATAGCCTTATACCATGTTTTGAAATCACAAAGTGTGAGTTCTCCAACATTGTTCTTTTTCAAGATTATTTAGGCTATTCTGGGTTTCTTGAGATTCCATGTAAATTTTAGAATAAATTTTTCTATTTTTGCAAAAAAGTCATTGGGCTTTTGATAGGGATTGCATTGAATTTTTAAATAACTTTTAAAAATATTTTTATTTTTAAAATTTATTATACATTTAATTACTGTACATCACTACAGCTTGTCAAATGAACTTACTCAATCTGAACACATTTCCCACCAGTCTAGTTGAAGATACCATACATATCAACAAACATTCTTCCATTTCTGTGTCCCTCAAAGGTCTTAGCTTTCTATTTTTCTCCTTGATGCCTTTCCTCTCACTCTCCCCCATCTCCCAACCTCTTCCCACATTGTCTCCAGTGCCCGTAACTGTTTTCCATGTATCCTCTATTCTATCAGTTTCTACCATAGAAATTTCTATTGTAATTTCTGGTTTACATATAGGCAATGTACAGCATTGTACATTACAGTTTTTTTAAAGCATGCATACAGTGTATAATAATCAACTACAAGGGTATATGCATATTCATTAACACCAAATATCATGTACCCGTTTGAACTACTAGGTTTTCTTGTGGAAGTATGTATTGAATTGTCCATATTTTTTTACTGTTCTTGGTACCCCATTCCATAACTTCTTGTGTCGATTACATTTTTTCTCCTGATTCTTACCCTCTACTGACTCTTTTTTGATAGCTTTGGGTAGTGTGGACAGCTTTACAATATTATGTCTTATAATCCATAAACACAGGCTGTCTTTCCATTTTATTTGTGTTTTTAATTTCTTTAAGGAATATTTTACCATATTCAGTGTACAAGTCTACCACCTTCTTGGTTAAGATTATTCATAACTATTTTATTCTTTTGATACTATTGCATATAGAATTATTTTTTTAATTTCCTTTTGGATTATTCATTGCTAGCATACAGAAATGCAACCTTTGGGTGTTAATTCTATATCCTCTAGCTTTGCTGAATTTGTCTATTAGTTTTAATAGGTGTGTGTGTGAGTGTGTGTGTGTGTGTATGTGAAAATCCTTAGTATTTTCCTCTCTATATAACATGTATAGTATCTCCAACTGGATGGGTGTGAAATGTATACATGTTGGAAAATTCACTTTATAAGCTAAGTGATGTACAGTGATTGAATATATAAAAGAAATTAAAATAAAAAAATAAAAAGATCATATTACCAGTGAAAAGAAATTATTTTAATTCTTCCTTGCTGACTTGAATATCTGTTTTTCCCTTACTTAAGTATTCTGGCTAGAACTTTCAATACTATGTTGAAAAGAAGTCTGTGTGTCTGTTTTGATTGTACTTATTTACTTTTGCTTTTATTCATTTGGTTTTCTTTCTTTCTTCTTCTTCTTTTTTCTTTTCATTTTGTTAAAGGGTGCATGTACTTGCCAGAGTAAGAGGAGAGAGAGGGAGAGAAAGAGAGAGAGAGAAAATGAGAAAGTATCCCTGCGTCCCCACTCCCTGGGGGGGAGGGGGAGGCCACTCTGCAATCCCTTTTCCTCCATTTTTCCTGTTGGGATTTTAGGCATGCATGCACACATGCTCAGTGTACTTTCAAGTTGCCAAGTCTGGGACTCAAATAGTGCAGTTGGCCATGTGGGATTCAGTCATGTTACCATCACATCACAGGTGGCCTTATTTATTTGGTTTTCTAGCCTGTCTTGTAATATTTTTTTTTCATTGCTGATTACAGTGCATAAAGAAGGGTACAGCCTCCATAAACTATTTCTCTTATTTACATTCATTTCTTGTGTCCATTAGAACTTTCTTCCCAACCTTCTCCCATTTTTTTCTTTCAGAGAGAATTTAGTTTATTTTGGCAAGCAAATACAGTACAAGTAGATTATCTTAGGCCAATCAGGGATTCAGAAGGTTGTATTTTAGGCTTCAGAAGATTTGTGTTTGAGGCTTTCTAAGATCTGGTCTATTTTTGGTTTTTCCTTGCTTCTAGGGTATAGCCCACTCTTTAGGAGTTTCAACTGAAAGCCTGAGGTGTTGATCACAATTCCTCCCATATAGAAAGGTCCTCAAATGCAATTTTTGTCTCCCTAGCACAATGACACTTTCTGCTTATTTTCTTGGTCCTTCACCCCATAAAGCAAAGCTTAAGAATCAGCAAATGTGCTAAAGGAAAATTGCACCAAGAATGATGAATTTATTTCTTTGAGGTCTCCTCTCCAAGGTTTTGATTTCTCAAGTCCTTACTGTCTTAATAAGCCTCTAAAGCCTTCGTTCACCTTCATTTAAAAATCCAGGCATTGTGAACTGAAGATCCTCTGCTACAAACCTCTCTTTCCAGACCAAAACATCTAGATAGAATCTATCTACATCTGAGTTGTGCCCTGTCCCTTTCAGAGACTAGGGTAACTGAAGACCATCTGCTCC